ATTAAACCACGAGTTGTTTAGATTCTTGGGTCGCATCTTTTATAACTTAGTGAGACATATCTCCTTTTGTGCGTGAGCAATGACGTCATCCAGGTAAAGGGTTTCTCGAATGAACCACCACTGTTCCAAACAGTTATTTCTGTTCACTTGACTATCGTTGGAAGTAAGCTCTGGCACGCCATGGTTGAAGATTGTGTCTAGATGATCCTGCTTACTGTGCCCTTCCTAGAGGTTCCTTTTCGATTTTCGAATGCTCCGAGGAAAGTCAGGATAGATGCGTATCGCACAGGATCCCTGTTGTAGCGCTCTTGTAGGGAGTAAAACGTTTACTACCTCCGTGACTGATTCTAGAATCACTCTAATAATCTGGGTTAGTCATGGTATGTAGGATTGGGGTGGGTTTGGCTTTCACATCCATAAAAAGGCATTATTTGAACGTTAAACATGTAAAGCTAATGGATCCAGACCTCTGTGTGTTGACCATTTTGCTGCACTCTGTTGAGAGTTAAGCTTGCGGTTTTCGCGCGGCAGACTTGTTGAACGCTATCCCCTCAGCTACGGTGCTAGGTACCGAGATAACTGATGTGCAGTTTAACTTGAAGGTGGTCCAAATTGCGGATGCTTGTCGAATCCCTTTCACATGTCAGATACTACAAACTTATTAGAAAAGAATCCTTAAACGCTGCGAATAGCGCTGTCCCAGAATAAATATGCCTACCGACAGTCTTTGCGAGCAGATTCCGTGTCATTGTCCGGTAGACTGTACTTGCAGATTGCAAACATGGACGAAGCCACTGGTTGAGTGAATTGTAGGGAGCGAGCAGTACCTTAAAATTTACATGCGAATGGACTACTATTGGACTCTCTCAAATACACCTTAAAATTTTGGTCTTGTAATGTTGGCTAGTCCTTTTGATGGCAGGTAAACCAAGGTGCCTCATGTTGAGTTTGAACTTGCATAGATGATGCTTCTTTCCCACAATTGGGCTAAAGCTACTTACCCCACAACTACATCTTTTTAATTTGGATAAAAGTGCTTCCACCTTGTTTGAGTAGTTCAGTTCTGCTATTCTACTGTATTTTCTGTGTCGATTTTGGGGGGTTTGTTTTGCCTCGGATTCTGTGTTCGCTGTTTGATAATCCCGGTGTGATTGCGTTTGATGTGAATGTTGACAAGGTGCCTACCTGTCTAACACCCACCACCCCGATTACTGGCTCCAAGGAACTGTGCATCGTTGCTGGCGGGTACACGGTCCTCGTGACCGTGCTAAGCTCAAAGAGTGGTTCCATGCATCCAGTGTGGAGCGAACTACGGCCCAGCTACCGACTTGCGCACGTCGGTTGTGCATGATTCCCTACGTAAGTAGACAGTAAAGTTGCTGCTGTGCATGCTGAAGGATTGTGGGCCGGCTCTGTTCATGAAACGTGGCTCCCATCCACATGCCTCCCGGTCTTATTCCTTCGTGTTGACACTGGATATGGGGTGTGTGGTTGGAGCTGTGGGTGGTGCAGCGCAAGCCATCCATGGTCCCTCTATAGACGCAGGCGTCCTGTGGCTATCATATGGAGGCCGCAGTGACAGATAAATCCGGAACCGGATGCCGCCAACCAAGCGAGGGTGAAAACGTCCAGCAAAACGCTAAAAAAGCCGACGAAAATGGGTAAACTTCACTGCGTATCGAATAAACAGGTCAAAAACTTTCCTGGGCCTTACCTGCACTGGACATTGATTACCTAGCCATAGCAGATACAATGCTTGTTGTAAAGGGTTGATATTTCTATTATTCGTCTGCAAATTTTTTGATTTCACAAAGACGGTGAAGTAATTATCCGTGTTGCCAGTTCTCTACATTATATTCTGGTACTTGCATGCGTTCCCAGTAGAGTTATTCAAGACGTTTGACCATTTAGCAGGGCAAAGTTTATTACTGAGGCTATCTACTCCAACCGATCCAGTATTCACACTAGTTTTGTGATCTGCAGCGAGATGCTGCACCCAACCCTGCCGTTCTGACAATCTCTCCCTGTCATTAAGCTTCCCCATCACTCGAATATGGCCAGTGAACTGCAAAAGCGCATGTCACTCAGTTCTAAATCTCGACGTGTTAGCAAGCTTGGTTTTCTTCTTCGTGGTGGCACAGGAGATGTTGATATTGAGGAATAAATCGCTGTGATCGTTGCAGAGAATTGTTGTCCGAGTACACTGCACAAATAAGGCTACTTCCGATTATTGTTGAGATACACTTTACTGTGAACTCTAAAGATAGAAGCAGTTAGTTTTCTACCTATCTGTGTAGCCCTAACCCGCAATCAACCTGCGTTGGATTCGGCATGAGATAGCAAAAAGCTGTATAGCTTACCCTAATTTCGCTTACGGAGGGGCTGATGCGAGGAAGTGGTTTTCCACTGGACGCAAACCCGCATTAATCGCTTGGCGAAGCTGTAACACCATAGATGAGTGACTCAATTGCCTGTTCGATGCCAATATAGTACACTCTCTCTGTCTCCTTGGGACTCATTATTGTGTGAAAGAGTCAAGACGAGTAATGATGTATTTGCATGGCGGCACTCGAAAGGTTGTCATAATCGGTCGAACCTGGTGTTCACACCCAGATACTAGGTGACATGATAGTGTCCCTCAGGTCGATTTGCTCGTCGGATGTCCTCAAAACGGCTACTAATGCTGGAGGTTGAGGTATACATGTTCCGCAGAGTCTAACAGAAAATATGCCTCTAGTCAGTACGGGTATATATGTGTGAAATAACTGCACATAAAAAACAAGCTTTTGTTCATCAGCCCTACTTTATTATCGTAATTTATTTCAAAGCCTGCGACGGATAGCGAATACCTGAAGTGGTCCACAGAAGGCACAAGAACGCTAGGATAAAAGTGTACCAACAATTCACAGAAAGACGCCTATTAGCATCCTGTTCGGTTTGCCATTGGTGGTACTGATTACCATCAAATCATGCCAAATTTATGCACCAAGAAAGAATGACTGTCCACCAGTGAATGAAATTTGGCTTAAACAATTCTCAGTCGATATGGCTTAGACAGCTAGGCACTGGCTTGGGGTGAACGAGAGATGCAACAGCCTAAGCGATAACAAAATGCCTCCAATAGATTGGCTCCGTTGTCATAATATTCTACTTGCTACTGACGAGCTTTATTGTGCATTGGTCCATATATTGCTACAAGTGCACCGTAGATTTACTAAGTCCCTTTCTTTTTAGTCGTTAAAGTTTTGGAGCCTGTATTAAACAGGCTCATCAGAGGGTGTCGATTAGTTTTCCGAATTGAAAAATTAGTTGACAGAATATAAATGAATATGTAAAAAGAATAAGCGATGGCAGGTGAACTGTAGAACGACATGAAGCTGTACGGTGCAATACGGCTTTGCACATTTGCAGTATCGCCTAGTTATGACATATAAGTGATCAGCAAGCATGCTCTAATGTTAGAAGGATTCTCCAGTTTTCATTCAACGGCGTATCGGTTTTCACAGCCCGTGTTAGTCAAGTGGTGGGTCGGTTGCATCCTTATAGAATGGTCGCCATACTTCAAGTCTAACTCAGTGCAGAAGCTTCCCCAACCATACAGAAAGTTGTGAGGATAATCCCCAATTAGTAAGACCTCTCAGGACAAAAATACAACAACGCATAAGTGAAAACAACTCGTGCATGAGGGTTTCATCACTTTCGCCATAGTCGAATTCGCGGTGAATGTTCTTGCGCGCTATGCGGTTCACTCCACCACAGTCCGGATAATTCTACCACTGCCAATCGAGTGGTGAACCCAAAAGATAGCACGATGAGAATACAAGCACTCAGAGATATTGGGGCAAATTGGCCACAAATGAATTACACATAACCCAGCCGCTATGCAGTAGAAAGGGATGTGTGTTGGGAAGGAAACAAGAGCTTATGGACATAACGACGTAAGCTAGACTAATCAACTCAACTAAATTTTGCACCGATACCCAAACCACTCGCTTGATGCTTACTGCGTGCCCACCCTTAGTAGTAACCTATGAGTAAAGTTACGTCTCATTGTCATAGCTTTTCTCCAATGAGTTACTCTTCAACGAGCAACAGCTGTTTACGAAGCACTGCGACAGCTGATTTGAAGACAGAGCAGCATTCACTAGAGAGAGATATCGGAGTTGTTCTCTCATAAATCGGTGTTCTATGCTCGGTCGCATCCTCATTTGAACTCTTCGAGCCAATGAGGTAAACGAGAGTAGAACGCGGGATGTCGCTGACATGGTAGATCACCTGCGGCACACGGCTATCTAGTCGCTCAGGCAGCGCTGCAACGTTTCTCTCCTGAATTGAGCAATTTAGCTTCCATTTTCCCGTAATAAGTAGGTATATAAATAGAGGATACTTCTGAAATGATGATTGGGAAACAAGAGCCAAACTTTCAAACCCCTCTTGAATGCAACAAAGGCACAGGCAAATTAACAACGCAGATGCCTCCACTATTCAATCAAGTCACGTTCCCCCGAATCAACCATTTGCTCTCCAGAGCAAAGAGGCTTATTCTGCTCCAAGGCTGGTTAATTTCAAGCGCACCGAACAACCAAAAATGTGTGTCTAACCCATTAGGTAGGATCTGTAACTAAGTCAGACCAATAACCCGGGGCACTTTTTCGGCTTTATATGATTGTGAGGTATCAATAAAGCACACTTTCACATGCAAAGCAGCTTGTTTTCCTCATCTAGCTGTCGGCTACACCGCATCCGCGGTTTTAGTGTCAATGGCTTCAAATTGGTTTACCTCGCCACCAATACCACACAAAAAGCTTCGGTTATGGTATATCTAACACAGTAGATTCGAATTCCACCATCAAAGTAAATCTAATTTCAGATTCGAACAACATTCTCTTTCACCACAAACAGTGCATACAGACTAACACTGGTTGTATGCTGGTGTCCGCTAGTGGCTTGAAACGGGGTGACCATATTGAGTCTTGATGAGACCAAATAATTCCTTTGATTTATGGTGAGAAAATGTAACAGATCAAGGCATAGCATAATACGGACTCACCAGTATGTGTTCGAATGTGAACGTACATATTGCTGTAATGTCTGGTTGTGTAGTTGCAAAGTTTGCATTTGAGCACAGACTCCCCGGTACCTGTCGCGTGGGCTTTTTGCAGATGACGTAGCAAATTTTTCTCAAACCGAAAACATTTGCGGCATATGGGACACAACATATTCTGATCCATGGCGAATGCGCTAAAGTTCAGTGGGGGGGAATAACGGTTGCAGAAGGCCTCCGCAGTGGCAAATACTTCCCCTTGATCGTTCACGTGTGAGAGGGCAGAGTTCCATAGAGATGAAGTTAGGGAATTGGTTGTATCAAGCAGTCTACCAAGAACATTGCTAGCTGAATCCGAAGAACATAAGCTGGGGACTTGATAATTGTTTTGCATATGATACTCCGGCTGCATAACTGACCATCTACTTGAACTTATTGGAATGAGTGACGGTTGATCCATTAGGGTGTAATTATACCACGCCCGGAAGTACTGAGTAAAAAGCACGGAACGAAGAGCATTAATCAATTCGGGGACCCTAGAATTTAGGCTCTCTTGGGGTTCGACTTTCGGTGCGAACTGTGACTGCAGAGCGGCCAAAGGTTCTAGTTGGACAGAATCGGGGAATGCAAATGAGCACATTAATTTCGCGGTAGTTTCACACTCTTCATTACAGTCGTTCCAATAAGTGACTGGGTTTTGTGCGTCAAACGCGGCTGCTTGTTCCTGAGGTACGCACAATCCAGCATACGTGTTCTGATGCATACGCAAATCTAGGGCTGTATCGACGATGTGGAAAGTGGGTGTGCCAGTTGGTTCCATCGTCTTGTTTGATTCTTCTCCCGGATCGAAGGCATTTGACGCTAAACAGTGCGCTGCAAAGTATGGGTATGTTGCATTTGTATTATGTGATGGATCTATTGGTGTTACTTTGTTCCCTGGCATTTGATACCAGGGCGCCGAGGAGGGAAAGTTTGAACCCGAAAGCACAGATGTTGGAGATTTGCACGGACCAGCAACCGTTATCAGGTCCATACCCGTTGGTTCCATTTTCATGACTGATGGTACTTTCCGGTCGAATTCGAGCATCGATTCCTCCTTCTTAATAGACATCTACAAAATCAGCATTATAATTTTTTTTTAAATCTCAAATTAACTCTAAGTGTAAGCGGAAAGACATACGGGTTGCCTCAATAAATAGTGATGCAGATAAAGACATAGACACTAACTATGTGATTTGTGTAAAAGAGTCCGAACAACAGTCGCAATAGGTGCTTATACTCACATATGCTCCCATCAAATACAAATGGAGCGCAAATTTAGAAATCTATTATGCCCTGTTTTTAACCATTAGGATACGGAATGATTTTCGCATCGCGAAGCAAATTTGACATGCTGGTAACAAACCAGTATCAGCTCAAAAAGCAGCTGACAAATGCGACTGGTGCAGAACGTTAAAGATGGAGGTGGTGGTGTGTAATACCTTGGTCTAACAGAGGAGGACTACTCGAAGTTTGTTTGGCTTCAAACACAGCAATCCAGTACAATGCCAATGATCGGATGGATCTAGGATAAGTTCAATGCAGATTGTGACCACAAATGTGAGCAACTGTCGCAATCCCACCGCACTTTAAGAAGTTCCAAATGCGACGATGGAAAGAGGACTCCATGCGAAGTTAAAGCTCAGGAAGCGTAGCTAAACACTGCAGTTTAACTTCTTGGATTGCAACTTGCTGAACTTGGAATTAGTTTGGTACTCATGCTTTTGTTGTAATGTGTTGGAGCATAGAAAGAGCCTAACGCTGCTTCCTAGGCTGCCTGGTTTGACGCTACGATCTAATAAAACTGCCAAGAGCCAGAACAGCGCCGCTGGGGTAGCAACTAATGGTACATCGCCGGAACCATTCAGCCAGCACATCAAAAACCTAACAATATATTTTCACTGAAAATCACATTTGTCTCTGCATCAATCTATTTGTCATCACTAATGGTGAACAAGCAAGGTTTGAAGCATTTTGCGCCACCAGGGGAGTCTTAGTGTAACGGCACGCAGACAAAAGTGAGGAGATTGCAAGAAGCAACGCTGGAGTTATATCTTTCCTCCATCTGCACCAGAAATTCCCAACATATGGAATGTCGCGATGTGGAACTGTGCTAGCCGGTGTGAAATTTCCTGGAGTTGTGATTCATGGCCAAAAGCTACACCGACTAGTATTGGTGAAGTGGCTTAATTTGACTGACGGCCTTCGGCGCGAAATAGGTGTTATTCATTCTAAAATAAGTACATTAAGACTTGCTAGTCAGATACCCTGAGCTCAAGTCAGCCCAACTTGGATAAATATGCGTTCCTAAATTCTCATTCGACACCCGGAAGGTGTGAAAGAACTCTTGAAGTCCTCAACCTTGAAACCGTTTTTCCACTCAAACATGTGCTATTGAGCAGTTTGTCTTGATAATCGGTGACCTCACAGCTCACTTAAAGCGTACCAGACTACATCTCTCATCTGAAACTAAACCGCATGGTGTTTATATTCCTCAACCGAGTTCCTAGCGCCTAGTTAGCTTATGCGGACTTAGTGCACGGCTGATTTCGTCCACGGGTCTACTTTTCTTCAATTATGACAGAGCACTGAAATGAGAGAGTCAAGTTGTCAAAGCCCCTCACATGATAGCAAAATATCAGCGAAACCTGACTAAACATAGAAACAGTGGTAAACTACAAATCCAAACACTTGTGTTTCCGAGTTTGGAGCCCCGAGGCCATGGTAATTGAGAAGCCACCATCGACTGATCAACAGCGTCGTATAGGAGTGCGCCCCCGATCATTCGATTGACCTAACAAGGCGCGCCCCAAAACAACTCCGTTTTTGATTGTGTTTTTTTTCGCATTGCATTAATAGGTCTGCATTTAACCTCCATGAAGTTCTATCCAGTCGGCCACAAACTTAACTAAACCGGACAGACTAAGTAATCATCGAAAGTGTACAGGCTAGGCCGCACAGGAAAAACAAATGGCGCGACAGAATTCACAAACATTATTACCAACCCATCTGCAGCTACGTTTTCTATCTGGCTATCGTCCTTGTGTGGTCAGAGGACACTGTGGATAAATAAATCTGCGCGAAAGATTGTTCCGCATAACACTTACTATCTTCTTAGATTAGATTACTGAGAATTCTTATAGCAAGTAGTTGACAAAGCAGTGTCGGTCAAACATTCCGTTCCTTGTGTACAGCTGCTAGTCTTTCACTTGACTAAGTGTAACGTTCTACTCTAACCCTTTGTGGCTGGGCTGACCGGCTACCTAGTGTATACCAAGAGAAATCAGTAACCACTGTTTTGTGTAAGAGTTAAAAGACGAGCAGCCGAGTTTTATGAAGTCTTATAACTGCCGAATAACCTAACGATGTGTGACTAGTTGCCTGTGGCCAATTATTTCGAAATTAGTCAAATATTTTCTTCTTCCATTTTACATTATTTTTACCATCATGTGGCTTTAGTTCCATTTGGATTCATCACCCTGCTGTTCTCAGCACATAGCAGTAGACTGAATACCAGCTGGTAACTCGGCCGTTTAGGGGTAGCGGTCACAACTAACATTCCAATTGCCCCGGGTTCGAGGCCTGTTAGCTCCATCTGATAAGAGCAAATAAGGTCGAAACTCGTCATGGAGTGCGGCGTTTTCGGGCGGGCAACCCAATATCTACCTGTTTCATAAGTTACGGTCCCAGTGATGGGATTTGCAATGGTTCACTTCAATGGGAATCGCGGTCCACATCGGCATTGCGCATCGCAATCCATTCACAAAACTTACAATTCAAAATGACCCTCCAACCGTCTGATTAACTTTGGACTATAGTGAGTGCCGGTGCTTGAAGGCAACTAGACTATTGACTACTTCAGCCCTCATTGACCCAAAAGACAATCACAGAGTTATGGTATGTGCAACAACCAGAGAAGAACTGGCTGTTCAGCTGTGCGACCCGATCAAACACTTTATGTGCCCATTTACTGCGAGGACCAGTCGTATGACAAGTTCCATAACGCAGTGTGCCATATACGTTATATATGCAGATGCACATGAGCTTTCAGTTTAAGCTGATCAGTAGGTAAGTGTGAGTTGCAACGCAGCACTGCCCGAAAGTATCTCAGTGTAGCTACAGGGTTGACGCAAATTTGCGGATAAGTGAATCCAGGAGAACAGTGGTGGCTAGCTTGGGACAAAACACATTGATAGTCCAGGTTAAGTTGAACTTCACGCAACCCCTTACACACTGTTAAGCATATCTGGCGAACATTATTCGAAGGATGGTTTGACCAGTAGATGACCATCCCTAATTCAGCTGCTTTAAATGCGATGGCACGCACCGGCTGCCTCCAGGCATCTAACGCTCTCTACTGTCAACCAATTGATCGGTATTTTTTAACATAAAACAACGTACTCATCCTGAATAGCCTATATCGTGTCTACTAATCACATACGCAAAAATTGTTCCTATTAGCTAGCCTGCGGAAAAGTAAACCCAAGCTTCCCACAAACTAAACCCATTCCGCTCTGGTTTATACACATGACTAATATTACCCTATCACATAATTCACGTCACTTCTATTTTCAAGTTCCAGATTCTTTTGCGATTCCCGAGGAAATGTCTGATTTAAAATTCATCTCTAATTAATACACTTCTCTACATGGCTTTCAGAACCGAAATTCGGCCGACGTTATGAAGAGATGATGGCCATCAACAAACGCTACATTTGCGGAGGAAATATGGGCGCGAATTGAAGCGAAATTCTTTTCAATCTATTAACACCAACAGTTCTGAGTGGAATCTGCAAATAATGAGCGGGCTAAGTTTTGGTCTCTTTCAGGTTCATGAGTCGTATGCCTCTTACATATTAATCAACGAAATCAAGTATCCTAACAGTCTGAGGAAAACAACATTGACTGGTAAATAACCTGGCGGAAACGATCTTATTCAGTAACCGAGTCTCTCAGGGATTAATCGTTTACTTGTAGATTAAATGCAAATTTTTGAATGCTCTGCCGATTTTGGCTCGGTAAGCCTAATTTTTGATATGCTGCGTCAAAAATGACGACACCACCGAAAAACTCAACCAACCAATTTATGCATGAAACAATCTGCAGAGGCAGTAAAAATTAATCCAGAAGTATTGCAAGCAAACACTGAACACAATGAATGTTAAATCTGCACCCAGCTGCCATATCTGAGGTTAGTGAACATTCGGTTACGGGGAAAAAACAGCCTCTGTAAATGGTCCCAGAGGAACCATTATGATGTTGGGAGTCTGTGGCTTTGAATTCAAGATAAAGGCATAAGTAGCGGGAACATAAATTTCCCGGTTTTCCAGAAAACTCTGTGCACAACCACCGCCATTAGTGGCTGCATCAACTTTACGAGTCCGCTTGTTTTCCCGCCAGTGTGGTAGGGGTTTAGTGTAAGCCATGAACTTTGATTTCAGTGAACGGCTTTGGCAGGAGGATGAAGCATGACCAATTCAAGTCATATAGAAAATGAATGCCAGATGGATCGTGAAATACTCATGCATTGCACCCTCAAGCACGCACGTTTCATCCGTTCTACTGTCTGTTGTTTCCCTTTCTTTGGCGACTTCTAACCGAGTATTAGGCCCACCTACAAATTCGTGCTTGTGAAGGCAACTAGAGCGCACAACAGTTTGCGAAAGAAGTTCTTCTCACCCGATAGCACGTATGTGCGTTTGAGCGTGTCGGTTTCATAATGAAACACACATCGTCATCTGGGATTAATTCCGGGAAACCCGTATGCAAACTATTGGCAAAGAATGTGGATTAGATGGTGTGAATTTGAGAGCGCCAAAGCACCAACCGAGGTAGACTACGAACGACGATAAAACGAAGGTGGAAATCGAATTATTTATGGTTTCAATATATCGTGGAATATATCGTGGTTATTGGGCAGACACAAATTATAGCCCTTTTTAGATAGCCAGCAAAGGAAGCGCTCCGAGACCGACTTCGTGTGCACTGCTTACAAGAGGAGATTCCGAAATTCATGAACTGTGCACGGAGAAAAGGATGGGCAATTGCATATTACGAACTTATGTGATTACAG